ATACAACTGCATTTATAAGCAGAGCTTCGTTATTTGTGTGCAAAATCCGGCCTCAGCCTGGCCAGGACACGTCAGGTCCTGTTCGAAGAGGGTGACTCCTCTGAGGAACCACCCATCCTTCAGCAGCCGTCACTGACATCGCTCCCGAAGGGCTCGGGCCCCTACCCCGGGCAAACCAGCCGAGGGAGGGACCAGCAAAGACACAGGTCATCAGCCTCAGCTTCTTTGTCCTTTTCCTTTTCCAGTGGCCTCTGGTTTTCCCAAGAAAATTCCAAAAATTGGTTCAGTTGGTGGTAACTCGCTGCCTATGTTACAGCAGTGAAGACGTTTGTTAAAGGAGAAATCACTTTATATTTATGTAAATCATGGAATTACATGATGCAACATAATTACCATAAAATTAAGTAAATTACCACACTTTCATTCCCTGAAGCAGCACTACTGGAGGAGGCAGGAGGTTCCTCGAGCTGAAATTTCATGGCAAGGAGAACGTAGCAGGTTTGCACTCATTCATTCATTTTACTCCAGCTATGGGCAAGGTTTTCTGTTTCTTCTCCTTGAGTAATCTCATCATAAGTAGATAAAACACGAAACTAAATGAACAAGGAAAAGCACTCTCCTACGTTTACCTCTTAAAAAAAAAAAAATCCCATAAAAACGTCCCTTTCCTTCCTTAACCTTTTGGCAGCAGTGGAAGACTCACTCCAGGTGCCATTCCTCTCTCTGCCCACCCTGATGCCAGCGGCAGGGTCGGCCGCCTCAGCGCAGCCTTGGGGAGGGCACAGGCAGGTGGGAGGGATGCTGCAGCCCCCCCGGGAACCACCGTGTCCCGTCCCCGGGTGAGCACCGCAGGCTGTGCACGGGGGGGCTGCAGCACCATCACCGGTAAAAAGGGCACTGTGGGTTTTATTATCTTGAATCTAACCTTAGCACCGATTTTTAACCTTGGGGTTAATAAAATCACAGAAGAATTTGTTTTCATGCTCATTCTCTTCATACCCCTCTCTCGACACTAAGCCAGATTCTGCCATTAATTAAATTTACGCTGCTTCATTTAACTTTGCTGAGCGGCTACCAGCGCAAATAAAAGCAGACCTGCCTCTTCAGCATTTTGTGTCAAAGCGCCCAGAACGCTGCCGTTCAAGTCTCCTTTCCACCTTCGCCCTCTGGCTGGGGTGCGCTGGGGACCCCCGAGGAGGGGGAGGGAACCGAGCCCCCCCTCCGAGCCCCGTGTTCCCAGCAGCTCACGCGCTCCCTCCGGCCAGGCACGGGGCTGAGCATCTCTCCGAGCGCCCCGCTCCTGCCCCACGCTCCCCTCGCACAGCTACGACTGACCAGCTGCTCCACGTTCAGGGGCAATGGAAGCGACAAGGCAGCCTCACCCCAAACCCGCTGCCCCCGCGCACCAGGGAAAGGAGCCCACCCGTGCAGACTGGGCTTTGACCCAGACCAGATCCTGGTGCTCAGGCTCTGCGGGGAGAGCAAGAAGGCACAAGCTGGGTCAGGTGTGTTTTCCCAAGCCCTCTCTCCATGCAGAGCTCCGGTCTCCTGCCGTGGGCAGCAAACCGCCCCGGCAGAGGGGTCTGCTCCGGGAGAAGGCAGCGGTGAAGACTGCGGGAGCGAGTGCCTCCGGGATGGCTGCTGCTCCCAGGGAAGGGCCGGGAGGGTAGCTGACCACTGGAAGGGTAAAAACACTTTTAACAGAAAAAAATTAGAAGCGATGACACTGAGACTAATGCAGCCCAGGGTAGGTCATTTCCATTTCACTTGCGGGATCATTCCCCTGGGAGTGCATTTTCTAAGCACTTAGCAATGGGCACATCTGGAAGAAGGAAACGGGACCATTTCATTAAGCAGACGAAAAGCTGAAGGATGACCTGAGCACATGGCAGGATTTTAGCCAGGCTGTATCTGTTCGGCTCCAGCTACAAATTCTTTAACTGCTGAAAATTCCTCAGGCAAAGGGACATCTTCGGCTCTGCCAGTGCCCAGCTGCGCTGATGCTGAAGCCGCTGGCCTCGGTGGGCGCCGGGCTGTGCCACGGCAGCGAGCAGTGCTGCGAACGCTGGGCATTACCCACCGACCCGTCAAACGGGGGCAGCTGATCCAACCCGGCACCCGGCGGACTTGCCGGAGCATCCTCGGCACGGCCCGCGTGCAGCCGTGGCCAGGCCCCCTGCGCACACAGCCACACGCACTTCCAGGGGACGGAGAAGCGGCCGCGCTCAGCCGAGGAACCCCACGAGGATTCAGTGCTCCAGGTCCTCCCGTTATCCCGGTGGAAGCTCCTGGCTGCGCACAGCAGCCGCAGCAGGGCACCCGTGGCACCGGCTGCGTCCTGCGTGGCACCGGGCAACCCACGCCACCTATGTGAGGGTCGTCTTCGCCCACCTTGGTTTATTGGCTTATGTTTGAGCCAAACGTGGGCCTGCAAAACACATCGGTATGAGCCCAAAAGGGCCTTCAACAGCCACGGCGTTTCTTCGCACACCCTCTGCTGACTCTTCCCTACAACCCCAGGGCAGGTGGCCGGAGCGGTGTCCCCAGAGCAGAGCTGCTTCCATCTCCCGACTGCAGCCTCCCATTCCCCTCCGCCAGCTGGCAGCAGCTGGCAGCCTCCCGAGACAAGAATTGCTGCTCCCTCCTTTTGCGGCTTTTCCCAGCGCCAGGTCGTGACATCTGCGCTCAGGTCCAGGGCAGACTTGGCACCCCGCGGAGAGGGGATCGGCTTCCCTCTCCCTGTTGGAGCCGCTCACCCCTCTGAATTCCCTCCGACTCGCTGTTTCTTAACCCTGCCAGGGCTCGCACAGTTATTCCAGGTTAAAATGCTTTAAAAAAAAAAACCTCAGTTTTGTTACCAACGTTAAAAAAACACCCCACCAAAACCCAGCACTTACATTGTGGGGATGCAAGGGCACGCCGGGGCGGCCAGGCCGACCGGTGTCCCTGCTCCCCGGCTGGGCTCCCCGGCGCATGGTGGGGAGTCCGGGCTGCTCCCCTGAACACTCATTCCCGCTTGCAGGTAGGGCAGAGCAGCCCAGCCCGAAGGAGCGGGCATCACGCTCCCCTCCTCCTCCTCCTCCTCCTCCTCCTCCTCCTCTTTGGGCAAGCCGGCACGCAGCAGCACCGGGGACGGCAGTGCATCCGTCAGGCTGAACTTGACAGTAACGATCTGCCGTGTCGGACCCCACAGTGGTCAATGGCACGGGTCCCTCTTGACTGCAGATGAAGTGCTGGCAATGGGGTTTTTAACTTACCGTATTGCCATCGGTTTTGATCCACACGCTCAGCCCCGGTTTGAAGCCTTGTAGGGAACCCCGGGGGAAAAGCCTGGAAGCCAGCACACAGGGAAAGGCACACCATGTTACAGCATGTCGTTGTAAGCCAACTGCCTTTCTTTTGGAGGAAAACAGCAGAAGCCTTTGCAATGCTGCCGATATGTATTTTTAGCACATGTGGCATAGAAGTGCTTAAGCAAAACAGCCAGGAGGAAAAAACACTTGTGATACATAGCATGGCAGGGCACCGCAGTGGGATTGTCAATGTTCAGGTGGAAACAACCAGCATCAATGCGCACACAGAGGAGAAAAACCTAAGATTAGTTCTGCCTACCATAAGATGTACCCATTGGAAAAATGCCTTTCAGCGTCTGCACATATAAAACGTCTGCGAGTGACTCCAGGGTCCATCTCAGAAAGGCATAATGGCAGGAAGCCATAATATATTAAAACAGTAGATTAAAACAAACAAGAACACTTTGGATCGTATTACACATCACTTTCCTCACGCCTGACAACAGAAGAAATCAAAGGCAGTAAAAGACAATCGTAGACCATAATGGCCTAATAACTCTGTGATAAAAGCGCTTGTGGGAGTTGGCTGCGAGGAGCCCAGTGCAGCCGCAGGATGCAGAGCCAGCCCTGGAACCCGCAGCGCTGCACTCAGGAGCATTACAGCTTAAGTGCTCGTTTAAGACTTCCTTGAAAATGCAACGTGCTCACTTGAGAAACGTAATTAGGCCTCGATTGCGGGTGATGTTCACACATTATGGATCATCCTTAAAAATGACAGGAAAAGAATGACCGAGGGCTCTGGGTTCTGCATGACAGCTCCCTCTCCATCATCCCAGGAGAAAACCTTGGGCCGCACGGAGGGTCCATCCCATCCAGGGCTCCTGGGCGGCCACGCTGGAGGGGCCGGGGCCGGTTCACGCAGCATGGGTTGCTCCGAAGGGCTTTGCTCCCTGGCGCTTTCAGGAGCGCGGACTGTGGGCGCACGGTCTCCGACTCGCCGTGCACACAGGCAGCCAGGCGAAGCTGAAGTTTGTCCCCGGGCACCTTCGCACGTTCACAGACCTTTGAAAAAGATTTAAAGTGCCAGTGGCTGCTAAAGTACTTCTTGCACCCTCCAGCACCTCATGCACACACAGTGACTTACACCAAAGCCAGAGGCCAAACCTCTAAGTCATCCTGTGGCAGCTGGCTGTTTTCTCGGTTCAGAATTCAAGGAGAAAGTCCTTTCTCCGGGGTCCTTCCTGCTGTTTCTCACTGTCTAGCACTGGGACATTTGGGGTCTGTGCTGGGGCGTTGGGCAGAAGCCGCAGCTCTCCCACAGCGCTGCCAGGTGCTGTTTGAAGGAGCACAGATGTTTTGCACTGACTTGGCTGAGAAGCTGCAATCCCCCTTTGAAGCCATTTTGGGCTGCTGGGTCCCCGATGAGCAGCAAATTATCCCCAGACTGTTCTGCTAACCAAAGGACCAACCGTCCTCGCTGTGAGAGCAGACGGTCATAGCAACTTAACCATGAAATCACAAATCCTGCAATGCTGACTTGGCTGTTCGGTTGGATTTGGGGTGGTTTGCAATGGCTGCTAACACCATTCTGGTGCCCACCACTACTGTACAAGCTCCCAAATCCTCCCCAGGGACCCTCTCATTCAGCTGTGCATACAGCAGTCTTCAACTCTCAGACCCAAATCTGCTTTGTCTTCTCAGCTCCACAGCACACGGTACATCCTGGAGCTGAACTGGGCTGACTGCAGCATTGCTCTCGTGTCAGGTGGCATCATGGATTTCTGTTAAGCACTGAAGGTCTTTCCAGAGCGTACAATTCGCATCACCTTCCTGCCGTCTGCTCCTGGTTCCCACTGTTGGTGCCCATTTGTCCCTGGGCAGGGGCGATGCTCGCACCACACTGTCAGCAAAGCATCTCCCAGGCGAGACGCGGTGGATTAATGCCGACTTCATCCATCAGAGAAGATCTCCGTACTGCTAAGGAGGCTCGCATCAAGATCCCCCTCAGTTTCCAATAATCTGCTGACAGACCTCAATGTTCTGCAGACAAGCTTTTCAGCTTCCACCAGTTAGCAGGTAAGGAGGCACCTGTGCTGGGCACACTGGGAGGGAACTAGCCTGGAGCAGGGCATTTGCACAACACACTGCCTCTGTGCCAAATGTGGGGCATTTTCCTGAAGAAACATGGAATATGGAAAGCGTTCCTGTGCACAGCTGCCTTGGGCATCTTTTGAAGGGACCTGAACAGAACATGGATCCTGATGAAGTCAACAGAGCTGGCCAGAGAAGACAGATAAAAGCCTGGGGATGTGCTGTCAGGCATCCTCCTCCTCCTTTTTTTCCTTTTTGTGAAAGCAGCATTTGTCTTCCATGTGAGCACCCATGTCAGAGGGAGGGTATACAAATACACTGACTCTAAACAATGACTGCTTGAAACTACAGAGCTTGTGGTTTATTAACTGCAATCCTGACTCCACTCTGACCATAAAGCCAAGGGAAGGAAAGAGCTCAACACCTGCAACACCCCTTTGCCATCATCTGAAACCGTGTTCCTCGTCACCCCAGGGTCTGGCTGTAGCCCACCGGCTTGGGAAGACCCCACTGGTTCAGCACACATCAACCCGGGTCTTAATTAAATTCCTGGTAGCTGCAATTAGCAAACACATTTGCAGGGGACATCAGGACATTATTTACTGCCCATTTAAGTCCCATCTGTCCCCACTGCATATGCTGAGCCCACCTTATGTAGCACGGGAGCATTTCCAGTGATTTTACAGAAACACGCTTTTTGAAATATTTTCCTGAGTTTGAGTGCTTTATGCCCATCGTAGCAGTTGCAGTTCGGACCAATGCAACGAGGCAGTGCTGCACTGCTGGGAAACAGTACGTTGTTCGGCAGGATAATGCGAGATACCATTAGTCTAAATCATACGCATAGGCTCAATAATCCCAAATCTCACTTAATATCTTCAGTTTAGCTTTGTTATGGAAGCAGAGTGCTGCAGTTTAATTTAACAGGCTGTCTTCTGATCGAACTTATGCTGGCATAATTATTCAAGTAGGTATATTGACTTCAAGTTATTTACCCCAGCCAAAATTAACAGCAGCAAACTATCTCAAACCCCAATGTAAATTCTTGAGCAGAATCCTCCGCTCATGTGAAGCTCTGACATTACACGGACTCAGGCAGGCTCCCCTTTGCCAGACGTGTGTTTGCACGCTCGTGGTGCAAGTCCGGCGGTCCCCAGCCAGCTGCGGCAGCCCCGGCTGCAGCAGCCCCAGCCCCTGCTGCTAGGAGAACGATGTTTCAACCGCCCCTCTGCCTCTCAGCTGCATCCATCAGCTCTGCAGTTTGAGATCTTTCAAAGCCTTTCAGGCACCGCATTAGGTGCCCCAGCACCTCAGCCTGGGAGCACTGTTTGGGGAGAGGTTGCTATTTATAATGGCTTTTTCCAGGCGCTGCAGCATAGGTGCAGCAGTTATGCTTTCAGCTCTGCCAGAGTATTTCTGCTCTCTGCCGCTGTGTCAGGTTTTCCTCGCCACTAGGGAGTGTAAATGTGTCTTCACATGCATTTCTGAGAGACCCTGGAAACCTCGCCATAAATCAGCAGGAGGTAATGTCGCTCTTTAGTACTTTGTGGATAACGTATTTTGACATCAAGGTAATGAGACAGAGGTTTGACTTCAAACTCCACATCCTTCGCGCTGGGTCTGCTCCTGGGAGGGATGAGCCCTCGCAGCCGTCGCCGCCAGGCATCAGGTCCGCCGTGCATTACAGAATGCAGCGGGGTGTCCCCGTCCCTATCCCCCTGACATTTGGCCCTTTCTCCTGCCCCGTGAGTGATGTGATCGCGGGCTCGGTCCCCTCCTCCGAGGACAACGGCAGCGACACCTTTAGCGCTTTCTCCCCACGCTATGGCCTCGTGATCTCTTGGCCTTTGGAGTTCAGATGTCAGCGGGCAGCCGCTCCCAACGCAACCTCTGAGCCCGGGGGGATAAAAGGCCACGCATCTCAGAGGTGATCCATCTCCGGGCGGTCACGTAAAGGATGCCATTCAGCCAGGCCAACAGATGCAAATTAAATAACCTTTTCCTGGCACTTACTGATGAACACAAATTTGGCAGGAAAACAAAAGGCAGATTTTAGACCCTCTGTGCTCCGTTGCAAGAGCAGAACTTGCCTGTGAGGGCTTCAGAGTTATGAATTATAAATAAATCACTTGCCCAGCGCACCACGGGTGGTATCAAAAGAAGAGTGTGTTTCACAGAGGATGAAAGACACAGCGCAAGCCTATACGTGCTCTGATGACAGCCTGACCCAGCCGGGAGGTACGAATCGGTCTAAGCCTTTGACCAGCCTGGGCTGAGCAGAAAGGTGCGAGGAGCCACTTGGCGGCCACAGTTTCAGGGTCTGCCCTCCACAAGGAAAGTGGCGAAGCAGGAAAGCAGTTGGACACATTACCTCTGCAGTTACCGACAAATACATGGGCCGTTTCCTCGGTCTCTGAAAACGCACTTGCAGCGGGCATGCTGGTTTTGTTTCTAAGGGGTTGCTGTAGGGCAGCAGGGAGTTCAGCTTACCTGCTGTTAACAGGACATGAATATTCATCCTCCTGCAACCTAAAGCCCCATCTATCCAATACGAAGTCACCTTGTTGCCAAGACAATTCCATAACTTCCCAGGATTAGTTTAGGGAAGTTCAGCCACTGCGGGCCTGAGCTGCCTCCGCCTGCAGCATCACCCGTCGCTCGGTGATGTCCCACGGACGCCCTCGCCGCCGGTCCCAGCGGGGCACCGAGGGTGTGCACGGCTGCAGAGGGACGAGCGGCTTCCCCCCAAGGTCGTGATTCCCCATACAAACCTCAGCAGAAACCAGCAACAAGCTGATTTACCACAGGGCGAGAAGTTGCCATCATCAGCTACTCTGCTATGACAGCAGCAGAGGGACTGTCGCTCCTGCTGAATTCGGAGGAGCTTCTCTTCGCTACCGCATTTGGGAAATGAGAAGATAAAAGCCAGCAGGGAGGCGATCGCCACTAACTGACGCTTGGCATTTTTTTACCCTACTACAACTTTCTAAAGGGAGAGTGAGCCAATGCTTCCACAATGTTAAAGAGATTCTTCTGGATTCAAATAAATGTGACATTGCTTAAGTTCTGCCATGTTTACTCAGCCAAACCAAATCTCCATTCAAATGCAAAACGGCAAAGCTACTGACTGAAATACCAGAGGAAAAAAAAAAGGAAGTAAAATCACCACTCTCCTTCACTCTTCCCATCTTTCATCCATTCAGCTCTCTTCCGTCACAATCTAGTAATGAGAGCTCACTAATGGATCAGCTTAAGTATACAACAACTCTCATCACTGTTCTAGAAAATAATCAATCAAGCACTTAATTTTTAACATAAGAAATAAGCTGCCTAGAGACTGTTAATAGGTAACTGAATAAATTAACAATCACAGGTGGAATTCAAAACTACTGCAAATCTTTTATTCACCATCTTCTTGAGCCTGTTCTCACAGAAAGCAGACTGACACTCAGTTCCACACCTCCTCCAAGCATGTAGCTGGACCTCGGCACGAGGAAACCACACCAAGCACATCTGTGTGTTTTATATCCCCTTCCACATCCTGAAGCGTCACTCAGCAGTGTCCCAGTTAGCGAGACTGTGGCAAACAGAGCCGAAGAGGCAGGGCGAGGTGTAACGCCCCAGCCTGAACATGCTCATCTACGCGGAACAGACTGCACCTTCGAAACAAAGGCTCAGGCTGAATTTGACCCCTTTTACAGGAAACTACAAACAAAGGCACTGCTCTCTGAGCCAGAGGTAGGCAGGTTCCTGTGCGAAAGCCTCGCTGTGCAATTGTCACCTCCACCAAGGGACCAGTTTAACTGATACTGGGGTTTGTTAGCCCAGCTGAGAAGTCACGGAGGTGAGGGCTGCATGAAATTATCACATCCAACATTGTACTAACTGCTGAAAGGTTATCTATACAGACACTTCTGCGTGAGCAGAATAAGCAGCTTTGACTACTGGGGACATCCATTTTCAAAACCACACATAAATACCCAGATAAAGGCTGCTGCTCACAGAACTTCATTAGCGAGCTCTGCCTCGCGTGCACCCGACTTGACCCTGAAGGACTGCGAGCCCAGAGGGCTCAAGTGCCGTTATTCCCCCTGAAAACCTAAGGGATGGACCCACCATGGCTTGGCTGCTTCAGCAAGTGATTTGGCACATCGGGACCAGACCCGTGTATCTCAGTGGGTGCTGAGGCCCTACTCCAGGTAACATTAGTCTGGTTCCTTGCACCGAGCATTCAGACAGGATTTGGCTGAGACCCCCGCGCAGTGGGAGTGTTTGGTGCACATCTGGAGTGCTTCCTTCCAGAGGCACCCAGAGTTTGAACCCCTCGTGCACAAAGTGAATCAACTCTCTGTCGGGGGGAATCATGGCTTCGCAGTTCACTATGGATCCGAATCGAAATGCTGCCCAGGACACGCCCAAATGCTTTTGCTTTCTGGTGCAGAGAAAAGGGAAGGAACAGAGCGGACATCAAATACCATCATCAAAGGCTCTTACTAAAGACACACAGCTCAGTTATTTCTTCAAAAAAATTTAATTGAAATTCCATCTTTATGGCAAATGATACACAGTAAGATTATACAATTTTTTTGTGTTACATTAAATGGAAGTCCTTGTTCAATCTGAAATACGTATGTTGGACTAAAAGCAAGTATTTGTACACATCTGGCATTAAAAAAAAAATGAAATTAACTTCTCTCTCTCTTGCATCTTACACTTCATACTGATTTCCAACTCTCTCGGTGTGGTAGAAAGGGAAAATAAAGTGAGCTTTTAGATACTCCTAGGAAAATCCCAGCCCCACTGAACTCAACTGTAACATCCTCTTCTCCAGGGGGAGCAGGAGTTTAGCTCACAGACACTGTCCACACACCTTTCAATATTACTGCACCACTTTTGGAAGCTATCACATTTTCTAAAATGCAGCCAGTAATAAGGGAGATTTTATAAACTCCAAAACAGAAAAACTTCAACTAAACAAAAAAAGAAAAAAGCAAAGTTGCAGGGAGTTAATTCAGGAACACAGCCTAATCATGAGCAAATTCTTCAAAACATTCCATTTGCAAACACCTTTACTTCCCACTTCTTTCCTTAGGACACCAAGGGCTCTGTTTCTGAACTCCTCTATTTTTCCATCAATATCCCCGAGCCAGAGCTCCACAGTGCTGTGGGAGCACTGCTGTGAAGATTCCGCTCCCCAGCTCTCATTCCTACTTTCAGGTGCAGTCTCAGCTGTGCAGCTGTTTGTCGGCCTGCGCTGCAAACAGCACCACCAGCATTAGCAGGAGTACGACTGAGCAGCTTGGGCACGGGGACAGCAACACCGTTCTGTCCCTGAAGCCTCGCCACTGCTCAAGTCCAGCCTGAGGACTCGGCTCTTACTGACAAAATCTTGGGATACAACGCTGCCTCAACACATCACTTAAGCTCACTTCCAACTGGTTGCTTTTTGTCAGGGCATATGTAAATGATAAACACTTGCAAATGAAATAACGTACTGAAAAAGAAGTGTAACTGATAACGAAAAAAATCAAACTGGATTATTGTCTGAGGACTAGAGTCTCCCAGATGCTGACACTTCCATATGCTCAAACCAATACAACCACAGCAGAAAGTGCTCAGGATCTGACGAGGCTGCATCCTGAGTTAGTAGCACCAAATGTTTAAAATCTGCCAGAGGGGCAAAGTGAATGCATAATTGTAGGATTAAGACTGCAATCTCCCAAGTGCAGCAGCTACACACCACTGGCAGAGTGCTGAAGAAGAAGGCACATAAATGGATGGGATTTATCTCTCCTCACATTAGACATGTGCAACGTAGCTAACTACCTCTGAGTTAGCGCACCACGCTCCCTTCATGGTCAGAGGCAGCAATGGAGTGAAACTCATCCAACCTGCTGTGGACATCTGCTTTGAGAGATGAATAATTTCTCAGAAATGCATATTAAAACAATCTTTTGACCATAAATAGTACCTAGGACACCAGCTCAGATGTCAACATGTAGATCAGAAGCATCTAAAGTAAGGTCAAATTAATTCCATTGTTAGAGTTAGCATAGTTAGAAATGCTCCCAAACAGAAAGCCCAGGATTAGATTTCAATGGCAGCAGAATTCCCACTGTTAGTAGTCTCACTGTTATCTAGATTTCTATTAAAAATATTAAGCAGAGCTGCTAGCTAACTTGCTCAGGTAGTTTTTCAACAGGCTTTTGATGCTGCTCTAAGACAAAATAATGTGTGTTAAATAGCAGAACAGAGTAATATTACATGATCTGTTCAGCAAAATGAAGAACCCCACCAACACTATGAGACAAGATCCATCTGCTAAAAGCTAGAAAAATTAAGTGATTTCTACATTATGGTCTAATAGCAGCAATGGGCTTAGTAATTATCTCACTTGTGGTTAGCATACTAAAAAGTGAATTTTAAATACCTTTTATTACTGGGGACAAACATAATGCCTCATAATTAGTGCCAGCTAATATTTTCAGTACTCTCTCCAGTATGGAAATAAAAAGCCAATGTATATTTATAGTATCACAATGTTCATAAGAAGTTAACCTTCACTTTCCAGCTTCAGTCACACTTCTAAATGCACTGGTCACAACCTGGATTTGAAGGTCAATATACCCTTCAGCTGGTAGGAAAGAGGTGTAAGTAGGCAGATTTTACAAAACAGATTGTTTTCCACTGACCTGTAAGTGTCAAGCAGAGAAATGGGAACAGAGAAAGTTCTTTGTCCAACAATAGATGTAAGGCTAGTGTTCCCTTCCCAGACATACTGCAGACATTTTTATTCTTTTGATGTTGATTCAAAGCTTTTCCATGAAAATTTCATCCTTCCACACACATGTGATAGTCCTACCTACTCCACCTGAGCAAGGGCAGGAATCAGCTTTGCACTCCTTTTTCCTGCCAAGGCAGCGAGCAGAGACCAAGAAAGGAGCAAGAAAGGGAGAACAGAAGCCCTGGCTTCTAGTTCCCTGCCACTGAAACAGGCACAGGTATGAAGGGTCAAGGAAGACTTCTTTCTGCTAAAGCAACGAGGGACAGCAGTAACATAGGAGGTTCTGGCACTGAAGGAATTCAAGTCTGTCTCACCATAATCACACACAGAAGCTGCAGTATGGCAGTGGAGACATCAATCAACTCTCAAGACATATTAGGCCACAGGCCCTAGTGAGGCTGTACAGTAGGATTTATATTGCTCCGTGGCAGTACTTGGCCCACTGGCTGATCCAACACAGCATCCATTCATTTCTTTAGTATCCCGTGCTTAATTCTTTCAACACAAAATAGATCAAGAGAAACCTCTGTCATACCAACAGAGGCCTCTTTTCTTTAAACTACCCTATCCTTGAAAGATCAGAGGTTCAAACTGTTCATGCCTCATAATTACATACACAAATAAAACTGAGCAGCACAGCATCTGCTTCTCAAACATCATGATTAGCTGAATCATCCATTTACAGAGAACAACCTGTGTTGCCAAAGTACTGGCATTTCAGTGCTAATTACGTAAAGTAAACATTTATACCCATGAAGCTGACAGCTAGACTAATACACATATGGCTCAGTCCCACCAAACACTGTCACAGCTTTGCTCCTCCTTTGTCCCTCCCAGGAGGAAAGGTCCCTGTGCGAGAGGACCACTGACTGAGGTGCTGCGGTAGTTCTGCCCTGAACTACTTCAAGTGCCGAGCTCAGGCATGCTTTGGGGTGACCAGCCTTTCAGAAAAGCCCCCTCTCAAGATTAACCTGGACACCGGTCGCAGTGCTGACAGTGAGGGAATACTGCCCTAAAAAGGTTTTTCACTCTACAAAACCACCGCTGCTTAGGAGTGGATTCAGCAGTCCTGATGCACCCCAACGCCTGCCAAGACAAGCAAGAAGTTTAGCTGGGTTATGAGCGCATACTCCTGGCCCACCATCAGTGCCAGAAATCTAACAGACAAAATTCGGCTTTTGTCAAAAAGTATGCATAAGCACCCAGCTGTTAACCCGCAGGGCTGCCTGCTCTCGGGCATCTGCAGTGTAAATTATTCCTGACTTATCATCTCAGTTTTAAATAACAACATCAATTAAGCTAGATCAATTGTACCCGTGGAACTCCATAGGTATCCCATAAAAACCACAGCACTGTGGCACAGTAGATAGCACAGACCAGATCTATAAACCTTCTGGAGAGCAAGCCTGACTTCCTAAATTTATGTAGCCAAATAGGGAAAGCCCTTTTTAATAGTAATTTTAAAAAGCCATTTTGCTTAAAAGATACACCAACATGTTTCCATACATGCTGCTGACAGCTGCTGGATTTGAAACATACAATCTGTTTCAATTGAGCATGTTCTTCAGCATCACCCAAGCAGGCTTATTCCTTTCATTTTATGTTCTTCAAATGCTGAGGCTTTCCTGCAGATAACGAGAGTGTTTTTTCTAGAAAATGTAAACAAATCTTGTGCATTCTACTATCCCAGCTAAGCTTTCACCAGAAGTTTCTGGCAGGAGAAAAAAAACAAACCAAAACAAAGCCTTATCTTTATGCTCTAAAAAAAAAAATATACACGTTATTTAAAAAGCATTAGAAGTCACTTGATCTTCAAACCCATCTGAAAAAAATCACTCTCAGAAGAGACAATTGTTGACTATGGTGGTTATACTGTACCTTAAGCATAATCAAAACAAATAATTGTATGCTTGACTTGGAAAGCTGAAATTAATGCACTCATGACAAAACTGCATACAAATAAATCCCTGCATAGGAAATAGAAACTAATTTGTAGAAAAGTTTTTTAAGTTTTTCAGTGCATACTTATGGGGTCATGCTAAGTCCAATCAGAATCAGATGAAACGAGATCTTTTCACATCTCACAGGATAAACGCCCTTATTTCCTTGCTTTCTACAAACTCTTCTCAAACAAGGAAAACGTAAGAAAAAATAAAACAAACAAACAAAAAAAGTCAAGTTCTCCCCACTGTTACATGAGGTTAACACCACTGAGACTACCAGCCTGCAAGTATGTAACGGAGGAGAGTTTGGTCAAGCGGTTTCTTTCCTTTGCTCTGCTTCACCAGGGCAATTTTCCTGCATAATCCAGTGGTGCTCTCCTAGACACCCATCACAGCTGTTGATTAGTGAAGAAGGCTTTTGTCTCCCTGCAGACAGGATTTACACAGAGCGGACAGCAGAGAGTTAACTGCCTAGAGCAGACTTCATTCGACTGGATATGTGAACAGACCAAGTCTGCCAGAGCCTGAAAGACAGTTAATTAAAAATCAGAAGTGAGCAAACCTAGCTGCATAAAATAAAAAAATGCTTTAACATGTCACACTGACTAGTGAGATTGCCAAATTGTGTATCCATCACACTACACTTTTTAAGCACCAGCCCCCTTTACTTCAGCAGAAAATCCTGCTTTAAAACTGCATTGGCATAATATCTTAAGAAAAATATTTCATTAAAAGACTACTACAAATGAATACAAAACTGTTTTTCTTTTTTGTCAAACCAAACTTCTGAACTTCTTTTTTTTTTTAAAAAAAAAAAAAAAGAGAGAACCCACAAACTGTGGTAAAAGAAAACACTTTGTGGTATACAGATTAAGTACGGGGCTTTCCATTTTCACTCTTAAACTCAGAATACTTTAAAACTACAAGAAGACATCCATAATCTAGTGGGAAACACACAACTGCAAACTTTTACAACTATTGCAACAAAGAAGATACCTTGGAGAACAGTGGATTTCCATTAAGAGACTCTGCTCTTCTGATATTTTCAACTCCACACTGAATCAAAAATAAGGAGAGAAGAAGTTAAGTCTGCTAGATCCTTCACTAGTTAAGCCTTCAAAATCTTCTTTTCTACTTCTTTCAGAAGTTGCCCCAAAATGACAGAATTAAATGTAATACCGTATTTTTCAATACAACAAAAATAACTATGATGCAAAATTTCGCTTTGCTGCCATAAATCAATGATCCTTTTTTAGTAAGGATAGTAGTGGCTTCAAAAGTTAAATCTAGAAAGACAAATTCCCACCTGTTTTGTGTTGCTAAAAATTCATTTGAGTTATGCCAGTTCAGATTAATTTTCAATTTACAGAAAAATTAAATTTGCCCCAGATCATATTGCAAAAAGCAACTACAAAGCAAATTTCAAAACAGGAAAAGTAATTTGGGGGCACCACTATCCAAACAGTTATAAGAACTATAAAACATTTACCTCATTCGCTAAAACTTGGGCATACTCAATATCCAGTTCATAAAGTGTTTCAATGTGGTCACTTGTAAATGCTATTGGGACCAACAACATGTTCTTCTTTCCTCTTTGGCACAGTCCTTTAATGGTCTCATCTGTCTGTGGACCAAGCCAAGGCATTGGTCCAACCTGTAAGAAAAGGGGGAGGGAAATAAAAAAGAAAAAGAAAAAAATCCCTCATTAAATCATGCTTACAAAGAACACCCATGTTTTCTTAAGCAGGACAACACAGACCAGATTATGTTTAAGATGGAGCCAGTTATTTGTATTTCCCTGCTTTTGATAGTACCTCTCACTTTCTCCATTAAATTTTTTTATGAAGACATACTGTCCAGCCATTTAAATCATAAAGAAACAGAACCTGGGCTGGCCTAAATGAGACTCTCATTAAAATAAATGAAATTTTAAATAAAGATCTACTGTTTTCAGTTCACTAAAACCCTAACCACTACTGCACAGGGTTTATCTGCCTCTTAAAGTTAGCGCTCTGTGGCAAACTGTCCTTACCTCTCTACTATCCATGAAGTATTTGCTGCTGATGTACCATAATATGCAACTTTAAGAACAAGACAACAATGGCAATAGGTATAATGACCCTGAGACATAAGGTTACTTGTACTACGTAATTCTGATAAAACTGATGTTCCTTGCTATTTGCAGTAGTAATAATAAGTACAAAGTAATGCAAGCAGTCTTCGTCAAGAATAATGAAGCCTGTTTGGATTAGGCTCATATTATTACTAACAATGCCTGTATCACAGTGATGGCTTTGGAAAAATTGCTCAGAGATCCTCAAAAGGCAACACCTTAAAAATCCAGAGAGTGCTCAATTCTTCCTTCTGACAGAGGATGATAAATGCCAAACTAGATGTTCTGAGATCATAGGTTTTCTAACAGACACATCAAAAATCTACGTTAAAAAGATGCAATATACAAAAAAAGGCAAGAAACTGTGGATAAAGAGTATCTGGAAAGACTGAATTTGAGTAATAGATGGGAATTCTGTTCAAGCAGAAATACTTGCTGAAAACAGGAAAAAGGCACTGAGGTTATGATCTTCTTAAGCTGGAAGATCATAAACTCCATCACCTGAAAAGCTTTACAGTGGCAGGTGGCTTTACAGCTTCCCTGAGCACATACCTTGGACTGCCACACAAGCCTGTAAGGGTTGGAGTAGTTCAGCTTCTCCATGACTCTCTGGACAGTAGCTCCCACTTCTTGAGGATATGGATCACCACGGTTCACCACCTTCAACACAGAAACACCAGACCTTTTTCTTCCAGTGAACGTCTTTGGGCAAAGACCACCTAAATACTGGGGAAGGTGAGCATGCTGCCTGTGATATGGCTGTGCCCAGGACGGTCTGTATCAAGTGCCTGGCTCATCCAAAACAGGGAAGAAAAACTGCATTCTTGCCCAGCAAAACCCATGATGAAGCTGCTTTACCAGAACATCTACTCCTCCTCCTTCCCATGATAAAAGATAAATTCTTCTATCATCACATGTAGATAAAGTTACATTTCAGTAACAGCACTGCATTTTTGAAAAATTATTTGAGAGCCATTTCACTGCAGTTGCTGGTTGCTGACAGAGGATCAAGTAATTTATTGCAACGTTGCAAAGATTTTACTTTCACTCCTTCAAGGGAAGTACTATTACTGCTTTCTAGAGGTGAGAAAATAACCAAATTTTCCCCCTCATTACCATCCAGGTTTGAGCTGGCACATTTGTGAGGCCATGAAAGCAGCCATACTGAGTCTGACCTAACCCAGCGCCCCATCTTCAAGGGTGGCCAACTGCACAGATCTGAGTAAGCATGCAGGAGAGTAACCACAGCTCATGTGCCTCACCTTCCGCCCCGCTTCAGGCTTCCACCTGCAACTCACTAGCTCACCTTCCTATTTCTCTTTTATATTTGCCTGGCACTTCCACAACTGTGGCCCTACTGCATGGGTGTGAGAGCCACATACCCTTCCATTCAGCCCAACCAGTGTGACTCTGGTCTAACAATGACAGAAACGATCTGACATAACTCACAGACATGGGCAGCGAGTGAGCCGAGAAGAGGATGACAACATCTTTCCTTTTGTCGGGTGGAAACAGGTTCAATTCCTTCTGTATGTGATCGGTGAAGCACTGTTCAGAAAAAAAAAAAAAAAGCCAAGACCTGAATCAGAAACACTAAGAGGCATTATGTGATCTCACATGACCCAAGACAGGCAGCTTCAGTGTTCCAGGCTGCCTTAAGAACTTCAAAATTCCCCTTTCAGTATGCGCTGGGCAACAATGAGAGGCAGCACATATTACATACTGTCAAGTATACAGCATCACACAGTGCCTGGTCCCAACACACCAATGGCCCCCGTGAACTTTTGATCATCCCAATAGTTTTAAGATACTGGTAACAATTCTCCTCTACCACCTCTGAAGAGGGGTTCCTGGGCTGCGGAGGGCACACGTGTGCAGCTGCTTGTGCAGGAGGAGAGAGAAATGGTGAACGGGCAGAGCACAACCATCCTCTCTTTAGCAGCCCCATTACACTTAGACTGACTCAGAGTAGATACACATGGCATCAGAGAAGAGCCTACTCTGAGAAAGGTGTCCCCTAATGGGCTGTTGAAGAAAGTTTGAGATAACTGTATTCAACTGTATTCAGAGACCTCCACCTTGAGTGCAGCTGACAGGAGAGAACATGGGAGAGACAGACACCTCTGTCCATCAACACCCAAAATGTTCTTAGTACTACACAAAAAAATCAGGGAAACACCTCCGACCCTTCATTCCCACCATCAGCGTTTGAACTGAGAGCCGTAACACTGCATACACACAGCTAGGCTGAGGGAGCGTACAGAGAGAAAAGCAGCTGCCATCACTGCTGGCATATGGTGCTGCAGGAGCATGAAACAATTCTGTCTGCCTGGTCTTCTCTCTTTGCTGTTTTTCACTGTAAAATATCTCAGAAATGTTAAAAAAATTCAGTCTCCATTTCAACTTTATAATCAGGGGCTGAGCCAGATCTTTCAATTACACCCTCCCTGGAGTTAAAGAAATGCACATTGGTGAGCTTATTTAAAAACAAACAAACAAACAAACCCCACGTTGTATGTACTCTGTCTAATGGAAATCATTTTGCAGCTTCCCTGAAGATATGAAAGGTTCCTAAATTCTGCTGAGGTGTTTCATTGAAGGCAAGGAGAATACACACTGAAGGCATGGAGAGTGCATAACGTCACATCCCAGGACAGCACCACACTTGGGCAGCTTGTCAGGGGAACATCACACAGTGCAGGCAGTTCCACCTTGCCTTCCTTCAGTCATTTTTATCATCTGTTCAGCACACCACAAAAACTGCAAAACCCAAACTAGAAGAGAAGCTCCCCAACAAAGACAAAAATGCCATTTTCTCTGAAAAGGAAGGGGCAAGAAGGCTTCCCTTTATTGCTTCTGCCACAGCCAGCGCTGTACGAAGAATTACCTCTTTGCTGCCACATAAGAATCTGATGAACTGACATGATATGTACATGTGTCAACCATAGACCTGCTCTGAGCAGGAATTTGGACTAATGACCTCTAGAGGTTCCTTCCAGCCAACACTATTACAATAATATGACTATGCTTTTAAAACAAGACATGCATGATGGTCACTTTCACACATTATCATGCCAAAACATCTGGCATGAAATAACCATCCTTCTCCTGTAATTTCATACATAGTAGACATGACACATTTCATTACAGTAACTAAAATGTACCCTCAAATTGAAGCATTTCTGTTACTCTTCTCAAATATTTTTCTTTTTTTAACAAAAATATATAAACACAGCCTAAATCAGCAAATAGGTTCATCTTCTTTCAGTAGTACATTCTATAGCTAAAAATCTTGTAAGCTTTGTTAGAAGCTAAGACTTGATCAAAGTGAAGTGTTTCCTCAGAATGTTTCTGTTGTTTAATATTATACTTTGTTTTTACTGGTAGTAAATATTTCTGAAAAGGAAACTCAATACACATCTGTATTTACTTAGTTCCTTGTTGTTTTAAGGTCAGCTGGCAATGCAAAGATACCAAGTTTCTCCTACATCGACCAATCTAAGAAAACCCCAGGGAATGCCAATTTGATAACATATCAGACCTGCTCAGTTCACGTCTCATTCTGACTGCTAACTTCAAAGGCTCTCATACAAATCCATACCTGAATAAGAAGGGGATGTGTGGGCCATCGGTCAATTATACTCCACTTCATCTTTGGCTTCTCCCCTTTTTTATTGTAGTAGCGATAAATAGCATTTAAACTGCTTCCTGAAATACAGAGAATTAAGAACATAAGTTCAGCCAAGGCATTAGCAACCTGTCAGATTAAAACAGTTTTGTAGCAAGGTATTATAATATTTAAAAATGCTACATATTTAAAATGCAACAGTCAGTCAGAACTGAAAGCCTCAAATGGGAACAATCGTATCAAAGTTCATACAATGTACAAGCCAGTAACAATTTGCTAAACCATTCTTTAACTAAAGAACAATTATTGTTCTATTTTCCATGAAGAAAGCTTACTCAGTCGTGCTCCTGAGCCTTCAGTTTATGTTACCTCACAGTAACAATGGTAACACAAAGCTGCCCCAAGTTAAGAAGTTCCTACCCAAAACTCGGAATTCTAGTAAATACAGAAGATCTTGAGCTGGCAACAAAGCTAACAGGAAGGGGCACTTTGAGGAAGACAGGACAGCTTGCACTGACACTCTGCAGGCTCCCTCAGGCTCGCAGACACGCGCCTCCATTCGCCTCTGTCCACGCTCTGCTCCTGCACAGACACTCACCTGTGGTAGAACAACTGTACTGGGGGTACTGGGTGAAAGCGATAGCCCTTTCAATGCCATCTTTCTCCATCTCTTCAATTGCTTCTTCTGTCAGAGGATGGACATACCGGAAGCCAATGTAGTATTTGTGAGGTGCTGCCAGCCAGAGCACAGGAAAAGGAATTGCAGGAAAAAAAAAAAAAAAAAGAACTCTGAATAACACATCATTAATAAGCACAAAGTACAAAACCAGACAGACTGGAACTGTTGAAATAAACTTGTTGATAATTTTCTGGCTACTTTTCTAAACCACTGTCATATAAACACATCTTTCTTTGGCCAAGTATTTTTTCTGGTAACTGACTTTGCTGTTATTAGAATTTAAAAGTGATTTATACTATTGTTTGCTTCTGCAGGAAGCATCACTCTTCTGCTTTTACTTAGTTAAGCAGAGGTGTGGTTTCCAGACTGTACAGAGCTCTGACATTTTACTGGGCAAGTTCTGATTTAGAGGATGCATTGGTAAAAAAGTGTCACTCTGAGATGCTAAATGAACACTACTATGCCCTAACCCAGATCACAATTACAGATGTGCTACCCGCTTCCTAACAGCACAGCTCAACTCGCATACTGAAATCAGAAGTCGGATGTTTTAAATACACCAATGTAATTAAAATGCCAAAACCTTAGGAAAGACAAGGCCTTCTTCATTCTGCCATACAAAAGGAAACACATTGCTTAAGCAGTTTGCACATTTCAGGAAATCTGATTTACCTAAACTTTCAAACATAATTGGGCTGCAATTTTGTGTTGCCAGCACTGAGATATTCTGCTCTACAGGGATCAGTTTCAAACAGGAAAAGACCCTGCACCTTATAGACATTAGCTGCTTATAAGGTGTTTCAAGAAAACCAGGTAATTGTATCCCTTTCATGCTCCAGGTGCCAATAGAGAAGTCCTCAAAACAGGATGCCTTCAGTGCACGAAGGATTCATGTGCCTTTGCCAGATCAGGCCCTCAGTCCCAGCACTGCAGGGGCATTCAGGCAGAATTCCCAGGTACCAACCGTTTGCTCCACATGCCCTCCCTTCCTTGCCCTCTAACTCCTTTTTCAGCTTCAGCAAACACCTGGCTCCCCTGCCTTTCCCTCACCTACTCTCTTTTCCTTCATCATATTATGCAGATGTAATTCTATTTCACTTCTTTCCACTTCCTTGCCTCCAGTTAACCACATTAAAAAACAAAGCTAAAAACAAGACAAGGTGGAATCATTGTTTAATGCAACTTCTCTGGTCACCACCCTCGCAAGAGAAGATGCCTTCCCTCACCCTGGTAAGTCTGCTCCATTTGCACATAAACCCCCAAGGACCAGGACTGTTGTCTGGGGCAAGAGATCAGTGATACTGAATAAGGGATGCATATTCTTTCATTCTGGTTTCTGGGTGTTTTTCACAGAAATCTTCATGACTTTAAACACTTTATTTTGGAGGCAATATCATTCTCTCCAAGGACAACATTTTAGGTTTTTCCATTTTCTGCTTCTCATCTTTTGGGTGTCCGCTTCGAGGTTAGGGGAGTATGGTTTGGTTAAGGGGAGGGAGGAAAGGGAGGTTTGCTGTTTTACTTTGGTTTTTTTAAGTAGAGGACAGAGGTTCTTAGAACAAAAGCAAAGTTTCTTCTTCAGGGTTTCCGGGTCACTAGCTCTGAAACAACATTTAAAAGGTTTCTGAAGGAAGCAGATGTCCCATGCTTGGTCTCCACTCCATACATTTATGCAGGATTCAGAAAACAGGTTTAGTCAGCCCCAGTTCTCTGCAGGAAGCAAGACAGCTCCCAGCTGGGAGCAGCAGCAAATAATGACCCAATGTCAGGAGCCCCGAGAGCCAGTAACCTCATTAACATTTTTAAATGGCATTAAAAACAAAAGTCTGACTAACCAGAGCAAAGACAGTAGGAGTTTAAACTGGGAAAGGACATACTGGGAAAAAACATGGCCAACCTGGAAACTTCTCACAATACTCTCACAGTATTACATTTTGTCCTGGGTCACAGGCAAAGGAGAGATTTTCATGTTCATTTTGTTGTTACAGTTATTCACAACTACTGGGAACAGACTGACATCTCCTTCCACGAAGAGCTGCCAATTTAAAGAAACAACATGGCCCCCTCATACTGTGAGCTTGCATTCTGCTGACAAGGGAATCTCAGCTAAAATACAACTTGTAAGAAATAGTAAGAACTGTTTTAATTAAAAACAGTAAAAAAGATGTGCCTTCTTAAAATATAATTACCATTGCAAGACATTAGCCTATTTGATGCCAGCACTTAAAAAACCAAACCCCAACAATAGAAATGGATTTTCCTATCACCATGTTTGTGTGATTTATTCTTACAGACTACCGAGCCTACCCAAACCCACTCATTCAGAAAGGAAGAGCTCTTGTTCATTTTCAGACAGCTGCCTGTAACAATAAAGCTTCATTTTAAAATTATATTGTTCCCAGATGACATGGGTGAGGCTGTTCATGTACTACTTTACATTAGTCCCATTGCCAAAGTGTAACATGCCAAATGTATATTCCAAGTCAGTAAATCAGTAGATTGATTAATTTACACAGGATGGAATTTTACAGGTGGTTATTGATACTGCCTAACATGAGCTCTTCACCAACTGCAAATACACACAACCATAAACTCCATGCCCCAAAAGTCCAGATCAAGGTAAAATGAGTATGCAAAGTATTTCTTCTTTGCCATGTGTTTCAAGTCTTATCACCACAACTTGCGAGTTACTCATTAACAGGGCTCAGCACTCCCAAAGAGCTACCTGTGAGCACACAATATTCCTAAATGCGTAGCTCAGTCTGGAAGCACATCCAACTGTTTCAAGCTATTCTGAAGCAACACAGTACTTGGTAACACTGCAAGTTACTTGAAATGCTTAAGGAAATGGTTAGCACTTAATTCAATTGTTAGCAATGCTTAGCATGCTCAATTTTTAAAACTGCAGCTACTGTTAGTTAAAAAAGGAGGTCTCTAAATGACTTATCAGCTGTAAGAACTGCACAGAGGTGGGTGTGACTTCACAGAAAGTGGTCACGAAACAAAAGCAAGCAGGAGTGGTACACTGAGAAAAGCAGATAAACTTTTCTAAGCTTTATCTGCAGAACCTGTTGCAAGCCTGACCCTTCAGGGGCTACTGCTGCTAAAAACACTACTGCCTTGGATGCCACAGCAGGGTGCGGTTTTCGCTTCAGGCTTTGACTATACTTGCAGGGACCACAGCTGGAAATAAGCTAGAGTAGCACCTGTGGAAAAAAGGATCAAACATCACCCAAATGAAGGTATCAGTGATGCGTTACATGCTGAACAAATGAAATAAATTTGGTCCTAGCCTTCCAAGGGCATTACTTTTCACCTTCCAGACCCTTTTACCACTCTTCTACCTCTAGCCTTTTTCTACCGAAGCCTGAAGCAGGCGCCACAAAGAACTACAAAATACCTAGGAATCAAATAATATGTATTGCCAAAAATGAAGTGGGATTCCCTGACACACCAGCACCACATCAGCAAAGGTCACACAAACTGAAGGGAGAAGGCGGCTTGCAGCACCACGCATTGTAAAGCTGCTGAGCTGAAGAGAACTTTGAGTGCTCCTCTTTGGCAACTTCTACTCCAGCAGTTCTTCTGTTAAAAATGTTTAGTGTTCATATTGGAGTGGCAGTATGAGAAGTATTGTCCGTAGCCAACACATCAGTGAAGAATTCAGAGGGGAGCTTAGTAATGTTGTTAATTCCTTCTACTCACAAAGGTAGTCTGCTGCTTCAAGAACAAAAAGCCTAATGCAGAGAAATATCTTATTGGAACAAAGGTGACCCCAGACAGGTCATTTCAGACAGACCAACCATCACGTTACTGTTTCTTCTGGCTTTTGTCAAAACAGTGGTGATTGACTGTCTTTTTCTGCTTGTCCCATGAGAGGCAAGACACAGAAGATGGCCATCACCCTTGAGCTGCTACTGTGGAAGTTTAATTTTTAGTGCTGCCACTCACATTTATTAACGCCATGGTTTTAATGTCACATAGCAAGAAACTGTAGCATAAAAGGTACCCTAAGCAAATGACCTATCACCTTCAGCGACCAGCAGAAGAGGAACAGGCTTCTAGTTCATCATAGCTGCTAACTGAGCAACAATACAAGCTGAAGTCAAATTCAGCTAACAACCAATTTGAAAGCAGTAGCTAAACTGGCACAGATTCCACCATGAATGCACTTAACCTGGGTGAAAAACTACTCATGTATCAATTTGGTTGGAGGTTTTAGGAGAGAGATCGAACATGGCTGAATCACAGCAAATTAACATTATGCACACAACTGCAGTTGTCTTGTGTTTGCATACCTAGCCCACTGCAACTGCACAGTAAACTTGTTAGCTGAAGCCCTTAGTAAAAGGACATTCACAGAAGCATCTGCATCCATTTCCCATTACACTAGTGCTACCAGGTAGCTTGGCACAAGGTAATCCATACAAGTCACAGCTCCTTGCTGTGAAGAAGCAAGGTTCAGAGAGATTCTGTGATCTGAGAGAGGGGAGGGAGGCTGTATTCACCTTTCAAGTTCTCTTGCCACCAAGGAAGAAATGGCAAGGACAGCATCTACTTCTACTCAAGCCAAACCATTAGGCCTTATCTCCTGCCTATGTCCTCGGGTGGGGCTCACTGCTGTCACTCAGCCAAGCCCTGCCATGTTCATCTACGAAACCTTGTCTTTTCTTCCAACCAACCTCCTCTTCAGTCCTGAAATCAGGCCTAATTAGTGTGTGTTTTCATCCATTATTAATAGTTAGATTCAGACAAAGCCTCAAAAGCTCTGGATACATCCAAGCAATAATTGCAGAGGGGCATTTCAGAGGAACGAAAGACACCTGCGACTTTGGAGAACAGTCAGGCTCCTGACACCCTCCCATGCAGTCACCTATTCTTTAGGCTCAGGCTGGCAAAACAAAGGCAAATACAAAACACTTTATAGCGTTAAGTTCTGGCCTCAAAGCTGTTCTGCATCAGACAGTCCCTGCACAGCATCATGGCCGAGCTGGGGCTGAACAGGGAAGGGCACTTGCAGGAAGCAGCAGGAGCAGGGAACGCTACACTGTCCTCTCTCTGAGCCCTAACTGCTGGCTGCTGTGAGTGTGCAGCAGCCATGAGAAGCTGGCCGTGCATTTTACAGCAGGAGATCCCACCCCCCTGTGAAACTCAATAGCACCAGTGTGCAGAACATGAACGACCAGGAAACCCTAGGTCAACAGGCGTTTCTTACTCTGTGCGTGCATGCACATGCGCAGCCTAAGAGGATCATCATTCTCCCACTCTACCTCTTCATAAGAGAATTACATGAGATTATACCACCACTGCCAATGGTCACAAATCTCCACCTCATTTATGCTAGCAAGAATGCCACTCTGAACACCCTTCTCCCATGCCTGCCTTATTTTTTTCACATGAAATACATTTCTCTTTCTTATCATCTAAGGCTCAACTGCTTGTCTTCAGTGTAGACTTCTTCAAGCTCAAGCAGGGCTTATGGGGCAAGGTATGACACCTCGCAGTCATACACACCAGCGGAGACTCCCATCAGCCATCTGATAATAAGACAGCTTCAGCCATCTGAAAATAAGATATTTGTCTCATAGTCATCTAGATTTCTTCCCATAATGAGGAGAGAGATAAGTCTATCTTTAGAGGGTAAGCCCGCCCTTTGATAATGACTTTAAGATGAACTGAATCACTTCCTCTCCAAGCCCTACTCTCTCTTGATGAAAGATGGAGAGAAACCACCAGCTTAGGCCAGATGCCCAACTTCCTGATGGCCAAAGTTACGTAAGATGAAACATGCCAAAAGCATCCAAGGGTGGACTTACCCTGGGCAGCTTTTCAGCTAGTTACCTTGGGCGCAGAGGCGGCAGCTGGACCACAGCACATCCTGGATCCAGCCTGAGAAGGTTGGTAAAAGTTTGGTTGTTGGCTTTTGGTGCTACACTGTGTTACTGCAGGTTGAATGAGTACTGACAGTACTCTCCAAAATCAAAGCCATTTTGCAATGCAGACTACGGCACAAAAATGTATTTGCATGTGTGGGAACCCCATGCTTTTGCATATGCTGAGGTTTTAATGAATAAGAACTTCTGCAATATCTTTGTCATAATTTCCTAGCAGGACTGAAAACACTGTTTACACTCACAATAGAAATCAAGAACCAAAAGCTGCTTTACAAGCATATACTTTCAACACATGAAGCAAAAGAAACTTCTAACAAGCACAGTAGAATAAAGAAGTACCGGTGTGAGGAGACATGCTGTCCAGCAGTTTCACCATGCCTTCTCCCTGCACCGCCGTCCACTTCTTAATTGGCGATCCGCCTCCAATCCTGCTGTACTGCTCCTGGATTTTTGGTGTGCGGCGTTTGGCAATTAATGGTGCTAATTTACTAAAGCATTCAAAAGGTACACATATTAATACCATAACCCAAATCACCTCCCCTTTCCCCAAATCTCTCCACTACAGTGGGTTTTCTGTGGCAATCTCCCCAAATTATAGCAAGCCAGCACTGCATGGTTTAATGTTATATTCCATCACCCTTCCCAAACTTACTAGGTGACAGGAAACCACAACTTGCAATAAGAAGAGAATGATTTTTGGCATGCTTATTTCCAGAGAATTATAACATCGTTTCTTGCACTGACTGGTCCCAAGATGAGACAGTCTTAAGAAATGCTGATATACACAGAAGTTACATGTTCAAGCCTACAGCGAAGACAGCAACACCCAACACTGACTGTAACACAGGAGTTCAGTGTTTCTCACTTTTGAGCTGGAAGCGTCATTAGATCTCTGTCCAGGAAAAGACGAAGTAAGAAATCATGCACATCATCCAGACGTTCTGGACCTCCCATGTTTAACATCAAGATTCCTGTTTTAGGTTTCCTATGGAAGCAAGAGATATTTCAAATCCTAGCGACCTACTGCTTTTTTTTATTATTGTTACAAAACAATCAGCTTACCCTTCTGCATTTGTCTTTTGCAAAAGCAGCATCCTATTTAGAAGCATGAGCTGCTTATGTAAAAATATGAACTACAAGCATGAATAAGCCAGAGAACAAGTATGTACACGATCTTTACTTTTTTTAAAAAAGTAATCACTTTACAACACAGAGTTTAACTGGAAATATACTGAGAAAATTATCTTGCAGCTGAAGGCTGTAAAGAAGGTTATAAAACAGGGACCAAGGACTATCTCAGCTGAATGCCAGCTTCCAACCAAGCAAAGGAGCAGCTTCCACAGAAAACAGAAGAGCTACCCACACATGTCTTTGTCTTCATTGCTTTGGAGACACATCTCATCTCCCAAAGCAGTGAAAGCAGCAAAGAGCCATTCTACACATAAAATAAGTGCAGGGTAGGTTTTGTTTGGGTGGTTTGGGGGAGGGGGGGGGGGGGGGGTGTCCCAATGGGTTTTCTATCCAGGTGCAGGCCCGGCACACTGTTCTACGGATAAGGTCCCTCCCAGCACAGCAGAGCCGAGCAGATGGTGGTATCAGCTTTTACAGAAACGGCTGCTGATCACAGCTCCCACCCAAGGGGTGGATTTCCCCATCGAATCATTTCCCCTGCCTGAGGGAGCCCAGTGGCCAGGATCTCTTTCCTCCCGAGTGGACAGAGCTGAGGCTGCACAGGGAGCTTTGCCCTCCTCTTGTTCAAGCCAAAGTCTTACAAAGGGGCACTGAGAGGAGCCTAGGCCTGCCCTGATGCGTCAGGACCTCAGTTTCCATTCCCTTCCTCCTGGAGTGCCTATCAGGAGGTTGCTAAATAAAACCCAGGAAACAGGAACCAGAACCTCAAATAATAATATCCTACTGTTTGTTCTTCTATTGCTTCTGCACTGCCTCAGGCCTTACTGTGGGCCACTGCCTCACTGCACTCTGCAGAGAACAAGGCAGGCCATCCTCGCCCCACAGAACTGTGAAAACAAGAGGCTCGGTGAATGCAGCCTGCCAGATAAAAGCAATCACACACACACAAAAAAACTAGATCAAGCCCTGTGACTGCCAAGTTTTACCACACAACCAGCTTTGCTATGCAAGTAAAGCAGCATACCATATCTGAGAGGGACAGAGGGCAACAAGAGCGCAACACACCCACCCAGACCTCACTGCAAACTTACCGCACTTCTGGCTGAATTTGAGGTTTTGTGCTTTCTGTCACTGCAGCTGCGGTTGCCTGACCTCTCCATCGTACCGGGACCCTCAGCTGACTGCTGCTTTTTACAACTGGAAGAAAGATAACAGCACATTGATAACCTTGCACCAGGCTGAGGGGCCTCTTCACCGGATAGGCACTAATCCCTCAACAGCTACATAAACACACTTGGCAGTATTGTGCTCTTGGCATTTTCTCCCTTAAGCTCCAGGTCGTGGAATCAAAGAAAGTCAGGAAATTGCAAGCTTCTGCCTTTCTTTAAACACTTTGTATACCAACTCCTTTTCAGATACCAGGCAGTAACCTAAAACCAAACAAAAGCCTCACTGATCTTTAAGCTCCAGTCGTAAATCCAAAATAACTGGTGAAAACACAAGAGAAACCACGCAGGGCTGACACACTAAGGAAGTAAGTATGTCAAGCTAGGTAACTCCTCATGGTACGGTCACACCTGGGCTAACTCTAGACAAGCAAAGTATTTCTATACCACCTCTACCATGTAGGTTAGACATTTGCCAATTTAGGGTCCCCAGCAAACTTCAGCAATGTAGGTCAGTACCTGTTAGCCATGAGCACACAGTTCCTTAGTTTGACCATGTGTCATGTACACGGAGCAGCAATTTCAGAATCCATTTACCTGAGGACACAGGCAGCCTTCTTTCTCACTACCCAGCTAGGCGACTTCTATTATTCCTAGATTTCAGCATCAGCCAAAACCCAGTATATTTTACTTCCCACATGCTGGTTACAGTCTGCTTTTTCAAAAGCATGCTTTGTTTTCCCTAGGAGTTCATAGTCATTACATGATATTTTTTAGTGCAACAATAGTGTGAATTGCCCAAGATGAAAAAAATTGTTAAATTCTGCATCCCCGGCTCTCCAGCAATCATTTGGTGTGACACTTCCCTTATCAGACTGCAGGAGTTCAGCAGCAATTGAGCCCCAACAGCACAGACCTCCTCAACAGCCGATCCACCCGCTGAGACGAGCATCTTATACTTCACAGGTCCCTAATAACATCCTGAACAGATGCTGAACGCCCTCAAAACCTGCTGAAATCAATGACAGTGAAAAGCATCTTGCAAATCCAGCTTCTTACTTGGGATTAAGAGTGTGTAGCTGTGGATGCCTGTGTCTGCAGTGATATAAAAGGCTGCAAACTAAAGAACTTCAATTCAAGCATTGATGATGCCTGACAGACTCTTGTCAAATATTTACATTCTTCTTCCAGTTCTTCGGTTATTACTTTTTGAAGCACTGACACTACATGTTAATTACATAGGACAATAAAAAGAGAAATTTCAATGGCTGTATCGATCCTTCTGTGCTGTAAATAAATACTGGAAAGCATTTGTTTTACTTAAGGCAAGGTCTGGGCATATTAATATCTGCACCATAAAGCACATGACACAGAACATGCGACGATGATGGTTCCAGCCTGATGGAACGTTGATAAAAGTGTTCTTTTATAAGTTTTAGAAATGGCATTATCATATCAGCCTCTGGAGCCAAGGCCCACACAAAACTGGTCCCTGGTGCGTGCCCGCACCTCCACTCATCTCAGGGTCAGCACACGGGTGCCTCTCGGTAGGTACGTGAGGTTACTCCGCCATTACGGTGGTAACTGGGTAATGTGTTGTATCTACAAAGGTTAAGGAGAATGGCTCCTGCTGAAGGAGCATGCAAACCCGACTGCATGTTGTAAAAACTGCAATACACACGTGTATGTAGACGGTATCTGTAACGCACATTTGTAGCATTAGGATAGCTGTGAAACTGACTTGCTGCTGTATTTCTTATTCACACCTCCTCACCGCACCTGGCCTTATTTTGAAAACGCAACCTGTGAATGGCTAAACAAGGGCGATTTTTTACACAAACGCTTTCTAAAAAGGAAAGGGCCTCGTCTAAAATTAAACTCTTGGGAGGGAGAAAAAACCTAACCAAAACAGAACACCCAAACAACGAAAAACCGAGCCCGACAGCAGCAAACGACAGATTTTTTCCGAGACGAAAAAATCCCAAGCCTCACAGCCCTCCGCTCATTCACAGAAAAAAAAAAATAATAATCATTAGCCTGTCCAGCACTTCCCACACTTGAGCCAGACTCACGGCAAGGTCTCCGCACCCCACTTACCACAGCGCGGCGACGCGACCCCCCCCGGCCAGGGGCAGCCCCCCAGCGCCGCCGGAGCCCCCCCCACCGCTGCCCGGCCCCGCTGCCCGCAGATTCCAGCCCCGGGTCACGGCGCGGGGATGGGAGGCCGCTGCTCCGCCTGCAGCGTTACGCAAAGGCACCTCACGGGCGTTGTGTAACGCGGTCCCGCTGCCCTCACGGCCCCCGCGGCGCGGCCGGCATCCCTCGGCAGAGCCCCCTCCCCGCCCTCAGACACCCCCTC